GGAAAGAGACACTGGATCTTGCTGCAGGCTTTCTTGGGATGGGTTTGGGGTGAGATTGAAGACAAATCATAATTTTCCTGAATTAGCTTCCTTCTGCTCTAGAATTGGGCAGAAAGTAAAGAAATGGATCTGGTCTTTTCCAGTCTGGTCACAGACCAGGGAACAATCAGTCTCTCTCCGTAAGAAAAGAACGGAGCCTGTTACTAACAAACTTCTATGACAGCAGAAAGAAACAAACTTCTATGACAGCAAATTGTTGTTATTTGGTGAATGTCTTTAAGACGTTCTTTAGGAATAGACATACGCTGCACTACCTACTAACTTTTCAGAACACAAGGTGAGGATTTGACAGATGGATCTTGGGAGGTAGAACTTGTGCGAAGATCAGAGACTGCACCTAATCATTGACAATTAGTTCAATTTAAAAGTAGTTTATACTCGTATTCGGTTTCTCGTATTCTATTTCTGTGCAATTACTGACCAAAGAGTTCATGAACCCAGATGAGGATTTGAGTGACTTCTCTTGTGTAGCTGTACAATGCAGTCTCATTTTAGGGATGAAAATACTAGGTCATTACTCCTCACATGACTGCATGTTAAAGTGCAATAAAACTGGCACAGAAGTTGCTTTAAAAGGTTCTTCCTGATTAAAATCTTTCATGTAAGCTCAAAAAGCAGATACAGCCCTTTCAGAAGAAAGGCTACTCTTAATAGTAGCTATTTGACTATGGCTTGTAGTTTTGTTACTGCCTATTACACCAATGTTAACACTTAATGCCTTGGGGGGAAGGGTCTGATGTCTTGCGCACAAAAAAAAAAACCAAGAGACTGGATGTACAGCATCTTACAGGGCTCATTACACCTCCTCATCTGGGGCAGAAAGGTGTCCCAGCTGCTGTAGCTTTTATGAAATGTTGCTACTTTATTTAACGCGCTGTTCTTTTCTTTGCTGGTATCTTTTACCACTTCTTTTTTTTTTTTTTTTTGTGATGTTTTGGTGAGTAACCACTCTTACCAAAAGAGGTGAAAAGCCCTGAGGGGAAGAAAAACTTCGAAAGCTGTGTATTAAAAACCAAGAAGTTTCCAAAGTTTTGACTCAAAAAATTTGAGGGAAGAATTTCCACTAATGCTTTCGTCACCACATCAAACTCTTGGTGCTGAGGGAAGCCTTTCATCTGTTGGCAATAAGATCATAAAGAGATGGGTATAAATCTACTGTAGCGGTGGCTTAATGGTCCTTGGAGCAGCTTGGAATTGAATGATTTTCTGTCTTCAGCAATATTTTTCTATCTGGAAATCTATAAAACTAGCAAGAGGGAAAGCTACCACTTGCCTGCAGCCTGCGTATACATTCATACAGAGGATGTGGTTCTGGCTGCAAATCCTGGTGGATACAGTGCACCTAGGCTGGGCAACCACTGCTTTATCTTTTGAAGGAAGATTCAATGGCTTCTCTGTATCCTGGTGGTTGGAATGTTGGTGGTTACAGATTATTTTTTTTTAATCTATAAAATATATTTAACTTTTCCCAGCAAAAAAACATTTTCTCTTTTCTCTTTTCCCTTTACTCTGATAGAATTTCTCCTCAAGCGTCATCTCTCATCTCCGCTTCCTTGCAAGTGTCAGTATACTTAGTTTGTCCGTCTTGATGGCTTTAACGGCTAAGTTTTACAACATTTCAGTCCAGATCCGAAGAAGGTGTAGACACAGTGGTGCTAAGTACTGCAGTATCTAATTGTCAGGTCCACTTAGTGAAATCCGTGCCTGAGTGAAGCTCTTGAGCTGCTTGCATCCTTTCCACAAAGAAAGGCCTCAGACTAGGAGGCATAAGAAAGCAGCAAGCTACACCTTGTCTCACCTCGGTCACGGGTGCTCTGGAATGCTGTTCCCAGTAGTTCTTGGTGCTTATGTACTTTTTGCGTTTCCAGCTCAACACTTAACGTTCAGGAAACTTTTAAGCTCTTGCATGCTTTTATCCTTATAAACTCTTTTATTTATATTTGCATATGAAAAAAAAAAATGCTAGCAGGAGTCTCTTTCCTTTTAAGACTATGGTAGCGTCTCACTTTTTGTTTTACGTTGCCTTAGATGAGGAAGAGCTCAGTTTAATTCTGTAATCTCTCTGGGCTGATTTAAAATGTGGGATTCCACGTCTTGACATCTCTCCACCCCTCAAAATCCTCCTGTTGTACGCTACCTAGAGGTATCCCTAATGCTGCCAAATAAAGCCATTCCACTTTTAAGAAAATGGTTCAAAATTCAGTGGACTGGAAAGAATGTCGCATTCTATAGCTTAGCGTTAGGATTCTCACTTGTGACTGGAGAGTCTTGGGATTTAGGACCTTCCCTCGAACTGCTGGTCTGTTTTGGGAAGGAAGTAGACTTTTCTGATTTGCTCCTTCACCAGCTATAAAACAACTGCGTATTTTTCTTTCTTTTTCCTGGGAGAGAGAAATAACTCTAGAAAAAACAAAGCCCCAGACTGAGCTGCTAGTTTAAAGACATTTACCTCTGGGCAAGAAGAAGTAGTGAGCTTATCTATTGATAAGCTTGAGGTCAATGCAGGAGTTAGACCTGAAAAAGACTTTTTACACTGCTTGTCCATCTCACTACCGCCGTGAGCTTGTTTCCTTCAGACCTTCGGTACTGGCATGCGTAGCTCTCGCCAATTTAGTACTTTGCCGGAGTTCAACTGAATTTTAATGTATCATTAATAACCTTCATCATTCTCTTACACCTTTCTTTAAAAAACTAATAGTTTTGAGTAATGTTTTAGGACTTACACTTTTTCTCTTTTAGCTTTATACTGTCACAAATAAGTTTGACATGATAAAAGCTGCAGTTATGTAAAATTTTGAATGCACTCTTTCATATAAAAGCAGGTGTCAAAATAAAAAAATAAAAATGATTCAGTGCCTATTTAAAGGGCTCGTTTGAAGAATTTGGAAGTTCACACCAGGGAGGGCTCTGCAGCCTACTCTCTTACAGAACCCTGTGCAAATTGGTAAGTTTTGCAGGCACTTTCAAGAATGCATTTACAAGTAGTTCAAAACCACAATTTTTGATAAGTTATTTATCTGTCTCTTTTCTTTTTGGAGTCACTGTATTCAGTGGAACAAGAACTCACAAAACAACTCTTAAATCCAAAGATTTGCTATTCTTATCTGCAATGCGGATGACTTGCGACAGTAACTCTGCACCTGGTTTGGCTGAAGTAGGGTGGGGAAAGAGAGCATTTATTTTTCCTCTTGACAAGCTGCTGCCATTAGACCAGCGTCTCTTCCTGCTTAACCGAGTTCTTAACCATCACAACTATGTTGTGTTACAAGGAGCAAAATGGTGTCTCTGAGCATCAGGGTAACTCTAGAATCACGGGCAACGAGATAAAGCACATCTCCAGAGCGCAGACGGCTCTTTGGTAATTCCATTGCTTGAACTGCAATTCCCTTTGCATATTACAAGCAGTAAATGCCTGGCAAAAACTACCTTTGCTTCCTGAACGTTTTCTGTCCCTGCTCCGAGGTATCAATGTAAAACTCTGTCTCTTTTCCACTGAACATATGCAGGAAGGGTATGATGAACGTTGTCCACAAACTTCTGCCAGCTATTGGCATAGGGGTGACTTTGTTTCTCTATGCAAGCAGATATTTTCAGTTGTCCTTGTTGACAATCCGTATTTTTTCCTCCCATATGCCTCAGGTAAACAAATGATTACCGTATGCACTTCTGATTTTTCATTCGAGCAGGGACATGTTCACATGCTGCTTTGTACTGAA